AACATATACCGGCTAAAAATAGGCTTTTAGATTAGACAAGGGAGCAGTGAAAGTGCATACAGTGAAACCTCGGCCAACAGTGACCAGTGAGGACATTTGCCAAGTAAAACAATACACCCACATCGCTAAAAATGGCATTCAGTGGAATCTAAAACCCCTCGCAGTCCAAGTGGGAGTAAAAAACTTCAAAATTGACTGTCCACGGCTAAAGAAAACACACGGGGCACTTTCCCATCTGCACTTAGAAATGCTGTGATGAAGCCGCAAACAGACTATTGTTTTGTCTGTAAAAGCCACCCTAGGGCTGGGTCAACAGTCCCGGTGAGTATCGCATGTGATGGGTCGGGGTTAAAGAGGTCACTGAGCATGTGACTAACATGTATGGTTAGGTTATGTGTGAACCTGAGGGGGGAACCCATTTAATCAGATAGTTAATTAAAATATTATATTTGATTAACCATTAAAATGTAATGGAGTTACACATTTATTTTTACTGTTGTGTGGTGAATATATTGTATTATTTGTGTAACTTGTTTGTATCATGGCTCAACAAGATGACAGCATCCTTCAAGTGACAAGGTCCATCCCATTTTTAGAGAAAGATAAAAACCGGCCTTGTTGCCCTCTCAGTCTTATCTAAAAGATACAGTATCTGCCCATTAAAATCTCTCTAGAGTCTGTCTGTCACCCAACGTATAGCTTATCATCTCCTGAAAATGTTTAATCTTACCCTGTCTCCTTGCAGAGCTAAACATAGGCTACTGTTTCTAAAATAATCGCCACTCTAGAGTGTGTGCTGTGGGAACATTTCAATAATTAATTCAGGCTCTTTTTTCTCTCTCTCTTACTCAAAGACACGCACATGTTCACCCAACAGATCACGTGTCGTCCATACAAACAGTGCGTACAGTCTTACATTTTCAGAAAATACCATAGCTGTCTGAGGTCATTTAAATGATGTGCTTGTCCACTTTAAATAGAGGCCCTCAGAAACCCCTCAATCTGTCCTAAATCATCTGGTTGCCTCTCTCTTGCACTTTGTGCCCGCTTGCTGAAAGAAGCAGCCGGCTGTGGTCTTGGGCTGGGCTCAGGCTGGCCGTTCTGTGGGCTCCTCAGAGCAAACGGCATGTCACGTGGCTCATGTGGATTATGCATGCATTTGCATCTGTGGAGCCTGAATGTGTGGATGTGTGTGTTTTAGAGGAAGGGGGGAGAGGGGGATGAAGAGGAAGGAAAAAGGAAGGAACTGAAGGCAGACATTGGATTGTCACTGTCTGGGGTCAAAGGCAGCTTTGGCACCTGTTTGGCCTTGGGGCACAGGGCTTATATGTGTTGGGGTGAGTGCTGTTTAGGACAAGTGTGCAGCTGAAAGGTATAAACAACCATCTGCTGCTGACTGGATCATATATGCTAGTGACATATTGACTTATTAAAGGCACTGAAAATCATTTTTTCCCATCATCTACTTGCCATAAGCGATCGGTTCCGGATATAAACACTGTTTTCTGCCAAATTTAGAGCCGTTTTATTGATTTTACATCAGTTCTGTATTTTTTTGTTGTTGTCATCTCTGTGTTCTTCTTACTGGTGTGAAATGGGCAGGACTTAGTATTTTAGTGCACTAATCAGAATTTAACAACATTTGGATCACAATGCAATGACAGCTGTGGAGTTGTTTGCCAGATCGCATCAAATCACACCTGCACAGAGATTAGCTGAGTTTTTAAGGGTTAAAGTCTTAATAAATGGTATCTGCACTGTTTTAGATGGTGTAATATATTATATTTAAAGAGTTGGCTATGTTTCCAGGTAGTTTTTCATATATGTTAACTTTTCTGACTGAATTTTATGTGCAATTTTGCTTCCGTGTGGATTTTAAAAGGAAGTATTGCATTCATCTACTTCAGAAATGGAAAGAAAATTACACAATTTTAAGAAAATCAAATAGACAATCCATTTATTAGCTTACTGGTAACAAGTTTTCCCTTGATTTAGTATTTGAAAAACAGATTTAAAAAAACAGTTGTCCATAGTCCCTAGTAAAGGTCGAATTCCAACAACACTAAATCAATTCCCATAATTCCCATCTTCCATTAGACTCTCCCTGCCTTGTAAATGCTCACAACATTCAAGCTTAACACCCCAGTCCTTCACACAAGCTTTCTGTTATTAATAATATCTCTCAGGCTGAGTTGTGGTTCCTCCAGAGCCTCCAGTGACAAGTATTCTTTTTGATAAAGAAAACATTAGGATGTGTCACATTTTGATCCCTTGTTTGCTTTATCCTGAGTGTATAAAAGTAAAGTACTAACATGCTTTTTTTTCTTAAGCCCTTAGGACCACCTCAGCCTTCTCTCTCTACCCCCCTTTCTCTGTCTATTCCTGTCTTTCCCCCCGTGGCGCTGGATGCTTGATCTGCTCTGGAGAAACAAACTGGAGTGTGGGTCTGAACCATGCACCAGATCTGAAACAAGTTAAAAGTAAAACTATTGGCCTGGATATGTCCACTTCAGTCTCCATGGGATTACCATCTTCTCAGAAGCGCCAAATCACTCTGCCTGTCAGGGGCATCTGTTCCCTCTCATATCATTCGTTTTTTGCTTCATATATCCCCCAAACTTGAAATTTTTAGACTTTATTTTGAAAGGGAAGGTTTGCTGATTGTACGTTCTCTCTTTCAGCCTCCCATAGATGTTTTATATTACAGATAATGGGGAATAATATACCCCTCCTTTCATCTTTATCGCATGTGTTCAGCGAGCCGAGGATTTTAGAGAACATTGACCCTTCGGTTTCAATCTCCTACCTCCTCTTTGTCTCCATTTCGCTCTGTAATATATTTGACCTTCTCTCCTCTCTCAGCAGGTTTGAGTCTGATTGTGCGCCGCAGCTGAACTGACAACAAACCTGCAACCACAGCAAACAACTGGAGGTGAACGGTAATGAACTCATGTCCTCTGTGAAGCACACACTGTGAGCTTTGAGGCAGGAAGACTCTGTACTCCAACTGTACACCGGGTAGGAAAACACTATCAAACATCTGCTTGAGCATCTCCTGATCAGGATTTGCCCAAAAGCTGGCCAACGTTTTTGCTGCCCTTTGAGAAGCCGTTGAGTCTCAACCTGACTGATTTTCTTTTAAAACAGTGAGCTCAGAGATAAGGAGGAACCGGTTACAGGCATGCTGACGGGTGCTAATCAGCCGGGACACAGATGTGGGAAATATCAGAGTGTCTGTTCCTGGACCAAGCTCTGTACTGTGTCACTAGGCAGACAGACCAGACAGCACCAATGTGTGAAATAGATGACCTCAGTCACTCTCAAACAGGCACAGCGGAAAGAGCTGCTGGAGGAACTGATAATATTTTGTCAATGAGTCTTTTAATTAGTCATCATAAGTGAATGCAACAACGACATGTCATCCCAGATTGTGAGAAATTCAGAAGCTGTTATTCAGCTCCACCCGTCTCCCTCGGTAGGCCTAATTTGTCAGGAAGCCAGCAGTCTCCTTAAGGGGAAAGCCGATCCTCCAGAGCCACGTTTCAGCGTCTTCCTTTGCCTAACAAATTCCTACGAGTCAGTCACTCTGAAAGAGAGCATTGTGATTCAACCTAACACTACTCCTACTCCTCTTGTGGAAAAAGGGGGGAAAAGGAAGTGGGAGTGCATGTGTCCCAGTGAAACTGCCCCACCACTTGCCCAAAAGCTTTCCCGCCTGGCCAGTGCTGGCTATGACAGAAGACAGCCTGGGCTCATAGAGAATGAAATGCTGCCTTCGAGTGCTGCTTGTAAAAGTTACCACTTGAAATACAGCTATGAAGATTTTAAAGGCTGGAGTATGCTTCAAAGAAAGAAACACAGATAAACACCACAAACTGTTTGGAAAAGGGTATGCACAAAAAAACTACCTCTGATCAGTGAACCATATAATGTGCCATTGTCGCTCTTTGCTCTTCTTTCAATGAAGAAATAGGCTACTTACCAGTTCTGATAAAACTGATCATCAGTATTGGTCAGGTACCTAGTTTTCAGGTTTTTCCATTTCCATTTTCTTCTCAAAGGTTAGATTATATCATCTTATACAACACATTACATCAGAATCACTTTTTTTGGCCAGGTATGTGAACACATAAAAGGTTTTTGACCCCCGGTTTTACATTGCTCTCAATGTACAAAACACAGACTAACAGCTTAACCAGAACAAGTTCAACACAATAGACATAGACATATAAGTCTATGTCTATTGTGTTGAACTT